TATATATATATATATATATATATATATATATATATATATATATATATATATATATATATATTTAGACAAAATGTATAGGATTCGATCTGATGTAATTAATAGAAAATTAGGTTTTTCTATTTTTTTTTTACATTGGAAGACTTGCTGAAGAGCGCAGAGAAGAAGAAATCTAGCAGATACAAGATCTGCAATCTGCGATTTGTAGAAAATAAATCTGTTATCTGCGATTAATCTTTTTCTTGTAGGTTTGCAGATTGTCCAAGATCCTCACACTACAACCCCTTGATTATGTATTCTTGCTAATCTTGATTGTCTTTTTTGGCTGCAATTAATTTTAGATCATATTCTTGAAAATTGCAAAATGTTTTGGACACCAAACCCTTGGCCGAATTTGACCTAGTTTGGTCCAAATTGGTTGGACCGAACCCATGGTTTGATGAGGTCTATTCTCAGTCYCATGGGTTACGTTTTAGGTGACCCAAATTCTGTTGTGGGCCAAGGGTTTGATGCCCCATCACATGATGCAATTCGCCCCACCCCTGTAAAACCCAGTTTTGCTAAGTTAAAGTAAGATTATAGCCCATTTTCAGCATAACAACTATATGGGCCGAACTGCTTTTTGCAGTTTAGCCCATATACCTAGATATTATTAGATAATACATGGCCTTAATGGGCTGATAATGTGTTAACTTTAATTAATTAGGGTTTACAATCTATTTGATTGATTGGATCAATTTCATGCATGTGGATGTATGTGATGTGCTGAATGTATTCCATACATGGGCCGTAATTACTTGGCCCATGTTTAAATGTGAGTAGCTCTTTACGAACACCATGGCTGAATGCACATCATTGCCATGGTGCCCTAAAGATCATTGGATGGTCTCCCTTCTCAATGGGCCCCAGATCAGCTTCCTCCCCAAGAGGAACTGTGCGGAACCCTAGCCCGTTTTGGGCCCATTTGAATCTGTCTTTAAGAAAGTCAGTGGGATCCACTTTGGTTTGACCTAAATTAGATATAGGGTCGTTTCAACTTGTTCCCTCCAGATATATAAGTGCATGTAATAGGGAGATTCATATGATGAATTTTCTAAAGGCCTTCTGTCATTAGCATGAAGATGGGCTATATTAGTAATAAGGAGATGCACCATAAAATTGGGCTATCCATTTGCTGATCCAATTTGTTTGATTGCTTCATAAGATAATAGGGGTGTCATAAACCGATGTGGGAGGGGCCTATCCTAAAATGGAAGATTCTCTCACGGTACCTTAGGGTCCGCAAATATGACGGGTCAGCACTTACTAGACAGAAAGGTAAAATGGCAATGAACCTTATCTGACAGAGGCCAAAAGGAAAGCTCATAAGATGAGTGGATATGATCCTTTACAGAAAGTGGTGGGGCTTTGTAGTTGAAATAGTTGGCTCCATACACCTATGTGATTTCCCTCATTTCCAGAGACATAATCACGTCTCCGTCACTGAGATAGGAGGGAAATCTTAGAGATTGAGAAATGGAAATGGAACATAGATAAAAGCCCTTTCTATGTAAATAACATGAATCAATTTTAAGTCGTGGACTAATATTTTGCCTTTTATCAGAAATGACAAACGGACAATTCGCCAAACTATTGGATGATAACAAACTTAAGGGACCAAATTAAGCTGACTGGTTCCGTAACCTTATGTTGGTTTTGACGTTCGAGAAATTGGACAAGGTAGCCAAAAACCCTGCACTAGAACGTCTGGGTGACAGGGCTTCCGAGTCCCGTAAGAAGGAATATCAAGAATGGGAAGAGAAGAATTCTCTTGCCCGGTGTTATATCATAGCCTCCTTAGACAATCCGATATAAAGACGGTTTGATAAGATCGAAGTGTCCAAGGATACCATGGATAGTCTAAGGACGATGTATGAAGAGCAGAATCGTTCTACTCAACAAAAGGTCTTAAAGTTGTTTATGACCACACAAATGTTTGAGAACCAACAGGTTCATGACCATTGTCTTAAGATGATGGGCTACATCAATGAACTAGAGGCTCTTGGCTTTGGGCTAGATGATGACACCAAGATTGATGCCGTCTTAAATTCACTAATAAAGGACARACCGATAGCCATGCTTGTTGAAGGTGGCAAGTAGGGCAAGAAAAAGAGTAAGGCTAAGAAGAAGCCTCAGAAGAAAGCTGGCAAGCCTAAAAAGCAAAAAAAGGACAAGGCATTAGATGCATGTCATTTCTACAAGCAGACTGGTCTCTAGAAGAGGAACTGTCCTCAGTATCTAGAGACCAAGAAGCAAGGTAATTTCGAATCTTTGGTCATAGAAACCAATTTGTTAGTCACTTTTGCTTCTTGGTGTATTGACTTCGGGGCTTCTACTCATGCATGTAACACATTGTAGAGGTTTACGACAAACAGAAGGTTGAGTGACGAAAAAGTGATGCTATACTTGGGGACTTTTGCAACAGTTGCAGCTACAACTATAAGAACTGTAGATTTGTATTTCAGAGAAGGAATAATTACACTTAAAGATTGTCTTTATATACCAACTTTGAGAAGAAGTTTAATTTTTGTTTCAAAATTGTGTTTCAATAACGAACCTTGAAAAATGCAGTTTTTCTAAAATAGGGAGTAGGATTCCTGGAAGGGAGAAAGAAATTTTTTGAAATTTCGCCCAACCACCTTGCATGGTTCGGCCATCCATATGATGGATCTCCCTTCCCTTCACCTTAGCCTCATTTTCTTTAATGGTTCACGTCCCAAGGTATTGCATAGCTTCTCTGGGCCTAAATAGTTTTTGGTGTGAGACCCACAAAGGTCTCACATAAGTCCATAAAGGTTGAATCCCACCTTTGGAAGAGGTTAGGCCAAATTCACCGCTTAGGGGCAGTGAACCCCTAACCTAATCAGCTTGGGCTCAGCTTGGGCCCAACGTTTACACAAATGATACTTGGATTAACCACCCTATGAACACTCAAGGATAACGAACTCATTTAAGATAAAGCCCATCAGTTAATTAACCTTATAATTGTCTCTTACACCTAACCTCTTGGCCCATTATCATCAAAACATTGCCCATAGGGAAGGACATTTTTCCTGACTGCAAAATGCAATGTCACATTCTTTGCTCGGATGGATCCTGAGATTAAAATCTTTTGCAAACCTTTTTCTTAAAATAGTAATATAACATATAAGTACATTTTGCAAATTGTATTTCAAATACAATTGAAATCCACTATTGACAATTTAAGTTTCCATCAAAGAGTGTAAATCCTGATACTCTCTTTGTCTAACAAAGGGGGTGATCCTATTACTATAATCACATACTCAGGTAGCCCTAACATACCCAGATATTTGATCCTTGATGGATCTCACTAGTTGGCATATGAAAGACAGTTCAGTCGAAAACCTAGTATAGTTTTATAATCAAGTCTGGGGTTAAGTGCAATTTTCCAGTTTTGCCCATCTATCTTCAAGGTCTAGGGAATAACTGGAAATTGGTCCAGGTTCAATGTTTCTTCCAAACACCCATTTGTTGTGTTTGGGGTCTAACTCTCGTAGTTGAGACAAGCTGCTCCACCAATTCGGCAGGTTGTCAGGATAAACTTCCCAAGTTTATCCAATGGCTGAGAACATTGCAAACTAACACGAGTCTCATAAGTGTCTAGTTTAAGGCGTAATTCATAGAAACACACCAATGAGAACATGAAACAATAATGTACTTTATTCATTTACTGATAAATGTTTGTGTACATCTATCTGATTGGAGCTAAGGGCATACAATGTCTAACACCATCGATAATTTTAGATACATCTTGCAGTTAGATCCTTTGGCAAGTGGTACTGACATTGACATCCTTAGTTGTTTCTTTGAACATGAAAATTATAAAGGTGTACATATATTACTATGTCAATATGTCTTTTATAGTTAAAAAACACATTTTGTAATGTTAAATAATAATGAGAAAGTTTTAGCCTGTTTACTAATTCTTATTGGAGTCATTTCTTTCATTTTTGGTAGGTAAGAAAAGGAAATACTCACAATCTCCAGAACACCATTAGCCTGGGATTCAAGCTCAACCTGAACTAGAGTCTACCATGAGGAAAGATGAGGGATTGTTTTATCTTTCAGATAAGCCATACTTCCATTGCATTCTTTCAAAGTCACAAGTCAAGCCTAAATATCAAATGGTAATTATTTCTTAACTTCCATACATAGATTACAAGAACAATTAGTAGTTTCTTTGACATGTTCATGGTGTAGAGAACGGTGTTGGGCCCACAATTAGCTGGTAATAAAATATTTATATAAAGTAGTTCATCCAGATGATTCAATGAACCTTGAGCTTGTGAAGTTGAAGTTCTCTACTCTCGTCTTTTTCCCTTTTAAGTCAATATATGGTTAATGAAAATGGCTATTACCAAACAATGGTCTAGCTTTCTAGGGTCTTGGGAGGGATGGATTGGATGAGGACCCAACCTTTGGCAATTTTTGTACAAAGTGGCTGTTGTCAGATTTGTATTGCATGTTCTCAAACTTGTCTACTTGAAATTTTACCATTGCACCTGGTAGTGGCTCCTCAATATAGTTAATGCCCCATAAGAAGCTTGCTGGATTGTTTGTAAGGGTGCAACTTGGGTTGGCCTGAGATAACATTTTACATTAGCTGGGCCCAATGAAATTTTGGCAAAAGTCCAACCCAAGCCCACCCAAGTTGCAACCCTAATTGTATAGATGTAATCATATATAACCAAAACAACTATTTGGATGATATTGCCTTCACATGCATCTAGCATGCTGTGTGAGATTCTAGTGGATCCTTTGTTTTCTTGATGTAGTGGAAATAAAAATTTTAAAGAATCTTGAATAACCAAGATCACACCCATGGTGGTGCATAGAAACCCTAATTATGAAACAAAAACTGCATACCCGTTATGCTTGCTTCAATCCATAAATTGATCTCTTAAGTTTGCATACCTTATGACTATGGTCATTGGATGTGAAGCCTTTTGGTTGCTCCATATAAATATCTTTCTCAATGTAACCATTGAGAAAAGCGGTCTTCACGTCCATTTGCCTAATCTCATAATTGTGATATGCTTCTATCACAAGTAAAATCCTAATAGATTGTAACATGGCTACTAGTGAAAAGGTTTCTTCATAGTCAACTCCTTGTCTTTGACGATACCCTTGTGCAACTAGCCTTGCTAAATGTCTCTACCTATCTATCTGAGCCAATCCTTCTCTTGAAGACTTATTTCCATCCAATAGGAACTATTTCTTCTTGAGGGTTGACAAGATCCCAAACTTTGTTAGAGTATATAGAATCTATCTCGAATTTCATGGCTCCAAGCCACTTTTCCACATTGATGTCTGACATTGCTTCCTAATAGCTAGTAGTATCATCTCCATGATCACTTTCTCCTCGAAAAACTTTTTTCTACATTCACATGGATGAAATCAAATCTTTTCGAAGGGAAAGAAACTCTACTAGATCTACCTACGGGTACAATGTGTACATGGGATGTTGTAGGTTTTGAGGCTCATGATAACTCCTTGAACTGAACTTCCCTCCCTATGCCCCCTTCTTGAATAAACTCTTTTTCAAGGAAAACAACATGTTTTCTGACCAAGACATTTTGGTCACTAGGGAAATAGAAGTAGTACCTAGATGACATTTTGGAATATCCAATTAACCTACACTTGTCAACTCTTGCTTCCAACTTGTCCCTCTTAAGTTTCTTTGAAAAAGTCAGGCATCTCCAAATCTTAATGTGATTAAGACTTGGCTTCTTAAAAAACCAAACCTCATGGGGTGTAGTAGGAAAGGACTTGGAGGCACTCTCTTTAGTATATAAGTTTTTGATGCTAATATGTGTTTTGTTGGTCCTACAGTTTTGTTATATCCCATCCAAGTTTATGATTTGCCCATGAATTTGCCAGAAGAAGGAGAGATGAGTAGGGGATTAGGAGATGTGGGTGATGTGAGAGAGATAATGAGAGAGAAAGAAGGGGTGGGTGTGGCTGAGGCTAGGGGTGAAAGAAGGCAGAAGGCTAAGGAAGGAGCAGGGCCTGATAGAGGGATAGGTACAGAAGGGGAAAAAGAAACCACTAAAAGGATTCAATCCCAAGAAGGTGAGTGTGATGAGGAGGCTGGGAGGGTCTTAGTTAAGGGGAAGGAAGAAAAGGAGGCGGGGGATAGTAAAAGAAGCCAAGAAGATCAGTGTGTAAAGGACCCAGTGGTGGTTTTGGCTGATAAAATGGGGTTGAAAGTGGAAAAAAATTAAGGAAAAGGAATCTCAAAATAAGGTAAGCAAAGAAAAAGGGGGCAAGAGGAGAAGAAAGCTAAATGAAGTTGAAAAACTCATTAGTGATGTAGAAGGGGATAAGGAGTTCAGTGCTAGGGGAGGGAGAAGGAGAGGGGGTCTATAGGCTAGGGCAGGGCTGGGGTCAGTATTTGGTGTGATCATGAAGATTATTAGCTTGAATATAAGGGGATTAGGAAAAATTACAAAAAGAGTAGTCAAAGAGGCATTGAGGAAGGAGAGACCGGACTTCGTTCTAATTTAAGAATCCAAAATTCAGGAAGTAGATAAGAAGCTTGTGGGGAGAGAGGAATATTAACCGGAGCTTCGCTCCCTCTTGGGGTGCATCAGGGGGTATTATAACAATGTGGAGAGAAGTAGTCCAGTGTTTGGAAGAATTGGTAAGCCATTTCTCAGTTTCTATTAAGCTGAAGGGTGTACAAGACGGTTTTGAATGGGTTCTCATGAATGTCTATGGGCCAAACTCATATAAAGAAAGGAAGAAATTATGGGAGGAGCTTGGGGACATTAGGGGACTTTGGGATGGACCTTGGTGTTTAGGGGGAGACTTCAATGTAGTAAGGTTTGTGAGTGAGACAACTGGGGGTAGAGGAAGAACTATAATGAGTATGAGAAAGTTTAATTCTTTTATTGAAGCTTTTGAGTTAAGAGATATTCCTTTGGGGCAATCCTGTTATACTTGGTTAAACCTTCAAACATCCCTATACTTTCCAAGCTTGATAGGTTTTTAGTTTCACCTGACTGGGAAGAGCATTGGCTAGGGATAATTGGGAGAAATTTACCAAGAATCACCTCAGATCATTGGCCTATCTGTTTGTTTGAGAGAATCAGTGATGGTGGCTCAACTCCATTCAGATTTGAAAATATGTGGCTCATTCATCTGGAAATTAAAGAGAAAGTCAAGGTTTGGTGGAATAGTATGGCTGTACCTACAATGTGAGAAGGACAAAAGTTCCTAAAGCAGCTTTAATTGTTGAAAAAGGAGATCAAGGAGTGGAATAGGGAGAAGTTTAGGAGATTGGAGGATAAGAAAGCTGATTTGATTTCTCAAATAGGGGCATTAGATAAAAAAGAGGTAGAAGGAATTCTAGTTGAAGGTGAAAAGGAGCTGAGATGGAATTTGAAGAAAGAGTTAGGGGAGACCTTATTGAGAGAGGAGATATGCTGGAAGCAAAAGTCAAGAGAGAGATGGGTCAAAGAAGGAGATGGAAATACAAAATTCTTCCATGCCATTGCAAATGGAAGGAGAAGAAAGTGCATGATTACTTCTTTAGTAGTGGGGGAAAACGAGATTACGGACCAAGAGGAGAATGCTAAAACATTGTTAGAGCATTTTAGGTCTATTTATAGAAGACCCTTAATTGAAAGGTGGAGGATTGAAGGCATTGTTTGGGAGACTTTGGAGGAGTCTGAAGTCTAATTTTTGGAAAAAAGGTTTGAAGAGGGAGAGATCAAGGAAGCTATCTTTTCTATGAATAGATCAAAATCACTAGGACTAGATGGTTTCACTATGGCATTTTATCAAGATTGTTGGGACATAGTTAAAGGAGATTTGATCAGAGTGTTTAATGTATTCCATAGGAGAGGGGTGATAAGTTCGGGAATGAATTCTACTTTTTTATCTCTAATCCCAAAGAAAACTAATGCCAACCAACTAGGGGATTTCAGGCCAATAAGTCTAGTCACTAGTATCTATAAGGTGGATAGCAAAGGTGTTGTCTCTGAGGATTAAAAAGGTGATCTCCCCAATCGTTTCTCAAGCTCAAGGGGCCTTTTGTGTAGGATAGACAGATTATTGATCGAATCTTAATTGCCAATGAATGCGTGGAGGCTCATAAGAGATTAAAAGAAAAAGGGAGTGGCTATCAAACTAGACCTGGAAAAAGCCTATGACATAGTGGATTGAAATTTCTTGATTGAAATTATGAGAAAATGTGGATTTGGAAATTTGTGGTGTAAGTGGATCATGGGATGCCTACAAACAAGTCACTTTTCAGTAATAGTTAATGGGATAGTGTATGATTTCTTTGAAGGATTTTGTGGACTTAGGGAGGGTGACCCTCTTTCTTCTTTTCTATTTACTCTGATTGTTGAAGCCCTAAGCAAATTGATTTCAAAAGCAAATGGTGTGCAATTATTCAGGGGTTGGTCAATTGGGAGGGATAATGTGCTAGTCACTCATTTACAATTCGCAGATGATATTCTTATTTTTTGTGATGGAGAAAGCAAGAGGGAGTAGAAAATTTGAGGTTGGTTGTGAAACTCTTCGAGAGGATGTCTCATTTGAGGATTAATTGGTCAAAGAGTTTATTGGTTGGAATCAATGTCGAAAAGGATGAAGTGAGAGTTCTGGCAAATTCCCTAGGCTGCAAGAAAGGTGAGCGGCCAATGAAATATTTGGGTTTACCCCTTGGAGATAACCCTAAATTCGCTAGCTTTTGGTCTCCGGTAGTGGAAAGGATTGAGAAACGTTTGGCGGCATGGAAAGGAACTATATCTCATTGGGGGGATAATAACCCTAATTAAATCCACTTTAGCAAATCTCCTAGTGTACCACATGTCAGTGTTTAGGATGCCACAAGGGATAGTGAGGAAAATTGAAAAAATCATGAGGGATTTTCTCTGGGAGCCTGGGGAAAAAAAGAAGGATCATTTGGTTAGATGGGAAAAGGTGAGGAAATTGAAAGAGCAAGGGGGTATGGGAATAGGGAATGTTAGACTCAAGAATCAGGCTTTGCTTAGCAAATGGCTTTGGAGGTTTCCGAATGAAAATGAGAAATTAAGGCACAGAGTGGTTGCAAGTGTTCATGGCATGTCGAGCAACGGATGGGATGCTAGATGTCTCCATAGGGCTAACTTGGCTG